GGTTCAGATTACTTCATCCTAACTGGAGTTACAGCAAAATATTCAGGGCCTCTTTCAAGTGAATCTCCCTGTATATATTTCCAATCAAAGGCAGTGCTTAGGTCTAACAAAATGAGGATGTCAATGGGCACCAAGAGATCATTCATAACCTTCACCAAGGCAGTTTCAGTACTGCTCTCTGCTCTAAAATCTAATTTAAATGGTTCATATTGTAGTATGTAGTATGTCTGTAGTATGTCCTGTGGAACATGAGTGATGACAGCTAGTTTCAGTTCAGATGGGACATAACCATAACAATAGATGTACTATGAGGACTAAGTGAAGACAGACATTTTTAAAGAAATTTATAGAAATGGGGTCAAGAAAACAAGAAGTGGACTGCAATTTGGAGACATACTGCACAGTTACTGTAGAGAAACTAGCAACAGTAGCCAAATGAGAACAAGAAGGGCTAATATCTATTAAGCAAGAAAAAAAATGCAGAGCAAATGAAAGCATTGATATAATCCAATTTATCAGTGATCCAGTTTATCAGAGCCGATCAGCAACAGAGTGAAACATAACAGCCTTCTGAGCCTCTTGGAGTGCTAAACTACTATTAACTAGCAAATGTACTATTAGCAAAAATAAGATACATTTTAAAAAATGCTTTTTGTTTGTCATATGATTAAGATGTCAGCGCAGAACAAAATACTGATGATGCCCATGACTGCCTCAAGTTTAACCTTTTTCAACTCAGGGTGCCTATAATAATGATCCAAGGATTGATCCTTGTGGGATACCCTGACAGACTTGTGTGGTGTGAGATGTATTACTGCCCAACCATTTAGGAACAATTTAAATTAAACCAGACAAGGAGAATCTGTGAAACAAAGTTGGTTGAAGCCCTCAGGGAGCTGTAGCTGATCTGTTTCAGCAGCACAGACATCAAGGAGCTGCAGGACCCTGGACAGCGTCCAGTAAAAAGCTGGTGAAGCTGAACATGGAGACACTCCTGAACTCAGCTAAGTCACTGATTTCCTCACAGACCAGAGAAGAAGAAGAGCAGCTGTTCTGAAGAAGGAAATGCTCTTACATTGTCCCTCTTTTTCTCAGAGACAGAAAGCCTGGAATATAAGAACCAGGAAAGCAGAACCACACCTATAACATTCTGCCACACACCACCTCACACACACCCAACCAGCTCTACCACACACCCCCTCACACACACACCTAACCAGCTCTACCACACACATCCTCACACCTCTAATCAGCTCTATCAAACACGCCCTCACACACATCACACATGCCTAACCAGCTCCACTAAACACATACACACACCTCACACACACAACCTGCAATACCATACACGTCTTCACGTACACCTAACCAGCTCTACCACACACCTCTCACACACCCCTAAGCAACTATAGAACACACACCCTCACACACACCTAGCCAGCTATACCACACACATTCTCACACACACTTAACCAATTCTATAATACACACACTCACACACACCCATATCTAACTAGCTCTACTACACACACTCAGACACACACACACAAACACTTAACCAGCTCTACCAAACACATCCTCACACACACCTACCAACTCAACCACACATACCCAACCTGCAATACCATACACACCTTCATGTACACCTAATGAGCTTAACCACACATACTCTCACACACCCCTAAGCAACTATACAACACACACCCTCACACACACATAGCCAGCTATACCACACACATCCTCACAAACACTTAATACACTCTATAATACATACCCTCACACACCCATACCTAACTAGCTCATCCACACACACCTTCACACCCACCTAACCACCTCTTCCACATACACTCTCATACATCCCCACACACACACACACACATACACACACACAAACACTTAACCAGCTCTACCTGACACACCCTCACACACATACACCTACCACACAACCCTCACACAACCTGAACCTGTTTAACATCACTGAGCTTTAACCAATTTTAGCTCACTGACAGCTGAAGTTGTCATCCTGTTTCTCTTTTGTAAAAGTTCCAGCTAAATGTTTTTTGTTTTGTTTTGTCCTCATGGAATATTCACACACATTAAAAATTTCAAAATATAACATGAAAGGGAGGATTATTTTCACATTCAATATCAGTCTGTGTGTGTGTCTGTGTGTGTGTTTGATATCATGATAAACAATACTTCTGAGCGTTTTTTGAATATCATCAATACTTAAAGAACACTGATGAACTGTATGTTTCCTTACATAGAGAGTGTCATCAGTCCTGTTTAACTTGATTTAATGTAGTGCAATATGTGTAAGGCTGAATAAAAATCAATCGTAAAAAAGATCTATATAAAGAGATTTTTTACACATATCGTATGAAAGATTGTTTGATTTTTTAAAGTTTTTGATGCCAGTTTTTATTATATACAGCACTTCTGATACGTTTTGTCTGTGTTTTCAAATATTGTGCTACTTATCATGCATCTTGATATGATATTTTTGCTATAAAGCCCTCATCTAAAAATAATGATAATGATACGCAGATCTGTTTATCTGCTTGATAAGCATCTGTTTGTTAGTTCTAGCGGTTCTGTAAAAAATGCAAGAACATGACTTCATTGGTTAGGTTTACATAGTTTGCTGTAATACTGTACACAGTACATGTACTGTAACATCAATATTATATTACATGTGCTTCCCAGAACTATGCCTATGTTTTGTATTCATTGAGGAACACAGACCTAATATTGTTGGACTACATTCTGTTGTACTTGTTCTTGTCCTCATCCTGCTCCTTCTCCTCTTCCTCCCACTCTCACTCTCACTGCCTCCATGTTTGCAAAGTTCTCATAAAAGTGGTGAGCTTACCTGAGGGCTATCTGCAGTGTGAAGTCTCAGAACCATTGGTGTTTCATTACTGTGCGAGTGTATTCAGGTGTCTGTGGGTGTTGCAAATGTTTTTTGTTTTTAAATAAAAGTGTTTTCCCAATGATTGCAAGAGCTTCAATTCTTGAACGCAGTGCCTAATGTAAGAAACTGTGTATAGTGTTTTGCATAAGTGTGTTGGAGAACTGCAATCAAAGTGCAAAGCAGGAAATGCTTTTGTACTTTTGGTGCTTTTGTTTAAATCATGGTTACAAAAATTAAGGTTTTGATGTTTTGTCTAAGCATTTAATTTCAGTGTGTAAGCATTCAGCAAAAAATGTATTATCATGTACTTTCTTTCATTTATTACAAAGTAATTACAAATTAGCTTGTTCCTCAGTTCAGATCAGTATCATTACATATTTAAATTTTCTTTGTTTTTAACCATTTTAAGTGTAGTATTCTTGTGTATCTGTATTTTGACTCTAGGCATGTGTTATTAGTTTATCAGTGTGCGTGTGTGTACGCATGTGTGTAAGAGAATGTGTGTTAGACAGAGAGTGTGTGTGTTCGTGAGTTGTTTATCAATGTGCTTATGTGTGTGTGTGTGTGTGTGTGTGTGTGTGTGTGTGTGTGTGTGTGAGTTGTTTGTCAATGTGTTTGTGGGTGTCTGTGTGTTTGAGTAAGTGAATAATTGAATGAGTGACAACAATGAAACTTTCATTTAAGTACTCAGACACAGCCATAGAGTTAGTAGATCAGTCAGTAAGTGAGTAAACAAGTGAGCAAGCAAGTGATAAAGGAGCAAGAGTGCAAATGAGTGAGTGGGTCAGTGAGTGAGCAGATCTGTGAGTGATTGAGCGAGAATTCCAGCATGATGGCTAATTATTGAGTGGATGTGTAAGCAAGTGAGTGACTGAATGAGTAAGTGAGTAAATAAGCAAATGTGTGAATGACTGATTGGGTCAGCAAGTCAGTGAGTTAAAATCATTTCTTGATCATTATTTTCTCAGTGTATTAATATTAAGAGTAAACCAGTTAAATGAGAGTTTAGTGCATATTATGTAATATGCAGTTACAGTAGATGTACATGTAGTGTAGTCTGTTAATTCTGTGTAAACTATGTAATTCCTGTAAAACTTCCATTTGTGAACATACAGAGAAACCACACAGCTGCAGGTGTGTGTGAGTGTGTGTGTGTGTGTGTGTGTGAGAGAGAGAGAGAGAGAGAGAAAGAGAGAGAGAGAGAGAGAGAGAGAGAGAGAGAGAGAGAGAGAGAGAGAGAGAGAGAAAGAGAGAGAAAGAGAGAGGAAGAAGGAAAGAGAGTGTGGGGGATGACACTGTATGTGCATGTGTGTGTGTCTGTGTGTTTATGTGTATGTTTGTGTGTATGTGTGTGTGAGAGAGTAGGTTATCAATGTGTGCCTGTGTGTATGTGTGTGTGTGTGTGAGTAGGTGATTAGAGTGTGAGTGTAAGCAGTGTGTGTGTGTATGTTTGAGAGTAGGTTATCAGTGTACATGTGTGTGTGTCTATCTATGTGGGTGCATGAGTAGTGTGTGTGAGTGTGAGTAGGTTATCAATATGTGTGTGAGTAGGTTATCAGTGTGTGTGTGTGTGTGTGAGAGAGAGAGAGAGAAAGTAGGTTATCTGTGTGTGTGTGTGTGTGTGTGTGTGTGTGTGTGTGTGTGTGTGTGTGCATGTGAGTGTGTGTGTGTGTGTGTGTGTGTGTGTGTGTGTGTGTGTGAGATGGTTATCAGTGTGTGGATCAGCTCTCTGCAGGTGCAGCATTAATGCTGTATTACACTGGAGTGTTTCCTCTCTCTGAAGTCAGTCTCTTGTATGTTAGTGTGTTTCTCACTACACTGCTGCGAGCGTCTCTCCTCACACACACACCTCTAGAGACGGAGGTGGAGTTCTGTTCATCAGCGCTGACGCTCTTTTGATAAATATGGAGAAAGAAAAAAATGCCTCCTCTGATTTGTCACTGAAAATGTTTGATGATTTCCTCTCCTCTTTCTAATAAAGTCATAGTGAGTGTGATTGGTGGCTGTGGGGAGCTCTCTCTCTCTCTCTCTCTCTTTCTCTCTCAGTTTCGTCAGTTTCTCTGGGGGGAGTGGAGGTGAAGTTTGTTCTGCTGCTGAGTTGAACGGACTGTGTGCAGGTCAGCCGCAGATGGACAGCTGTGTGGCTCTCATTCTTCTGTCCTCCACTATCACACTCACCACTGCTGGTAAGTATTCACTGTCACTATTAAAGAATAATTAAGATCAAATTTTAACTCTCATTTGCTCTCTCTCCATTTGTTGAAACTAAAAGACTTGTTACTAGATTAGTTACTGATTTCTTAATGTATTTCTACTTTTTTGTGTCCCCTTAAGTAAAGTGGAAAATATACAAACATTAACAATTAATGTGTATTCTAAATATTTCTATACAATAAACAAACCGAAATCAGCTGTTGCTTTGTGTGTTTATGCCAGCAGCTCTATGTCTAAGATCAAGATTCGTTTGCAGGACAATGTGTTTTTACGTAGTACGGATCTATTTAGTGCAGATTTATGGACAAACTTCAGAACACAGCAACTGCTGAATTGTTTTTGGAAAATAGTAACTTTGTACTATTGGTAAATTTCACTGCACTCAATTTATCACTCAGTCCTATTCCGAAGTATGTCTACTGTATGACACAGAAGTAGGCTCCATTACATGTTTAACCAAAACAATTTTATAGGCTGGCCAAAAGCTACAGACAGGTTGCTATTGGAACTGAGGCTGATGAATTTAAACTACACTGACTTTTTCTAATCATGCGTTGAGATGAATTCAACTGTACTGAAACTCTGAACACTGATGACTGAATGCAGTGTTAATATAGTTTTTGCTATTTATTTTATTCTTTCATTTAGAGCTTGTGTGTGCATTCGTGAACTACTTTTAACTATATGTAGCATTGCTATGATGCTGATGTGGGATTTAATTTAGTAAACCTTGAGTTCTTGAAGTTCTTGATCCAAGTGAGATAACCCAACTGAGAGAGCTGATACCAAACTGTCAGAAAATGATCATTACACTGAGTTAAAGAAATGGCTCAGCGTGGTTCCACATTAACATTACAGCTTATCAATGGAGAGAAGGGGTCTTAATAGTGGAGAAATATTGGTTATAGTTTATGTAGATCTTTTCTTATACAAACAAAACTCACATACAGTTTAGCAATTAAGTTGTTGGTTGGACATTGGTGCGAATATCAATGAATAAATATCAATCAATAAAATTAAATTAAATTAGCTATCACTATCTCTTCCTTCACTCTATTTCTACTTCTTGTCTGTCCTGTCCATTAAATCCGCTCTGTTGTTTCATATGTTTTGATTGGTTGGAGGTGGGATTATTTTTTAGATTTGGATTGAAGATCTGACAGTGGCGTGCCCTGCGCTAGATTATTTACAATTACAGGCTTTTTTGAAATTATGAATGAGCAAATAAACTACAGCAGTAACCACGATAACACAGCTCTGATTGGTCAGACTGCTTATTAATGAATCCAAGAAAAATAAATCTAACTTGCTCATTTTAAAACTTTATGCAGTGTCACAGTCAGTCAGCTTCATGTGATAGACGGTGTTAACGTGCATGTGTACATTTTCAAATCTTGACTTGTTTTATCATATGTAAAAATCAAACTCATGGACTAAAACACATCACACTCTTCACACTTGTGCAAACGTACTGATACATATTCTCCAAAGTGCGGTGAACCAGCACAAATACATCCACATTCAGTGCCACAACAGAGTTCAAGAATCACTGCAGTGATATAAGTTGTTAATTTTTTGTATATTACACTTAATGCAGAAAGCCTGCTGTTTTCATCTGTACTGACTCTCCTCAAGTGGCAGCTGTACAACGTCCCGTGTGTGCTCTCAGCAACCTGATTGGGAAACTATGGAGAGAGTCATATCTCAAGATTTCTTGAGTAATTTTTTCCACAGAGGGCTTACACATACATCCTGACTAACAGCAAAGTGTGTGTAGCCTGATCCTAAACATGAAATCATAGTATAATTAGTGTATTTGTAGTGAAGATCATTGCTTTACTTGGAGGGACACATAAAGTGGTAATTAATGGTTATGGGAAAAGGAGTAATTAATACTGAAAATGTGAAGACAGATCTGAGGATAGTGAGGCAGTTGAAAATGTGGAGGTGAAGAAGAGTGTCCAGAAAAGACCGAGGACTGTGTTAGACACAACATTGCAGTGGACAAAAAAAGGGGTAATAAATCATTAGATGATGATGATTAACAGATAATTAACGGCACTAACACATAAGCACTCTTTCATTCTGATGTTACTTTTTGTATATGAGTAAACACACTCATCCACTTATTAGCCACCACCTAAATAATACCTCCTTTGTGGTGGTCCAGTGGGGGTCCAGGCCATTGAAGAACGGGGTGAAAGGGGGCTAACAAACTGTGCAGTGAAACAGATGGACTACAGTCTGTAATTGTGAAAGTAGCTACATGGAAACTGACCTGATACGTGTGTGTATGTGTGTGTGTGTGTGTGTGTGTGTGTGTGTGTGTGTGTGTTTAGGGTGAATTTCAAGTATTATTATGTGCCAGTTTCATAAAATGTCTAACATGTATTTCCCACACATGCTACAGTTCCTTTCCGCTCACATGTTTATGTATACAGAGCTGTGAAAAAAGTTTCTTGCATTTTTGCTAATTTGCCACATTTAAATGTTTTAGATTATCCAATGAATTTAATATAAGATGAAGACAACAAATGAACACAAAATGCAGCTTTTAAATGATCAGTCCATTTATTGAAGATTTATTCAAAACCTCTATCACCCATGTGAAAAAGTAAAAGCCCCCTCTAAACCTAATAACTGTTTTGCCACCCTTGGCAGTAACAACTGCAATCAAATGTTTGCAATAACTTGCAATGAGTCTTTTACATTGCTGTGGAGGAACTTCGGCCCACTCTTGTTTGCAGATTTTTTTTAATTTGACTACATTGGAGGGTGTTCAAATATGAACTGTCTGTTTAAGGTCTTGCCACAGCAACTCAAAGGGATTCAAGTCAGGACTTTGACACGGCCCCTCCAAAGCCTTAATTTTGTTTCTTTTGAGCCATTCAGAGGTGGACTTTCTTATGTTCTGCGGCATAACCCAACTGTGCTTGAGCTTTAGGTTACGAACTGACGGGTGGACATTCTCCTTCAGGATTTTCTGATAGAGCAGAATTCATGGTTCCATCAGTTATGACAAGTCATCCAGATCCTGCAAAAGCAAAGCAGCACCAGACCATCACACTACCACCACCATGTTTGACTGTTGGTATGATGTTCTTATGGTGGAATATGGTTTTAGCTTTACATCAGATGTAACGGGACCCATGTCTTCCAACATGTTTGACGTTTGACTCAGTCCATAGAATATTATCCCAAAAGTTTTGGGGGTCATCTAGATGTTTTTTGGCAAAAATGAGACGAGCCTTTGTGTTTATTTGGTCAGCAGTGGTTTGCACATTGCAACTCTGCAATGGATACCTTTCTGCCGAGTGTCTTTCTTATTGTGGAATCCTGTACACTGACCTTAACTGAGGCAAGTGAGGTCTGCAGTTCTTTAGATGTTTTTTCTGGGTTCTTTTGTGACCTCCTGGATGAGTCGCTGATGTACTCTTGGTGAAATTTTGGTAGGTTGGCCACTCATGGGAAGGTTCACCACTGTTCCAAGTTTTCTCCATTTGTGGATAATGGCTCTCACTGTGGTTCACTGGGGTCTGAGAGCCTTAGCAATGGCTTTGTAACCCTTTCCAGATTGGTAGATTTTGATGACTTTGTTTCTGTATTTGAATCTCTTTAGAATGTGGCATCATGTGCTGCTTTGTAAGACCTTCTAGTCTGCGTGTCATTGCCAGACAGGTTTTATTTAAGTGATGTTTATATTCAAGAGATCTGACAGTAATATGCCTGGGTGTGGCTAGTGAAATTGAACCCAGTAGTCAATTGAATTAGGTTAACTGGGCGATTTAGTAGCTAAAGGGGCAACTACATTTTTACATAGGGTAAGACTGAACAGCATTTTTCCTTCAATAAATGAACAGTTGTGATTACTTGGGTCATAGACTATCTATCTATCTATCTATCTATCTATCTATCTATCTACAGTGCTGTTAAAAAGTATTATTGTTACACATGTTTCATCAAAGATCAAAAGCAACTTTATTTTTCCTTGTGCTTACATATGTTTAGATGGACTAGATTGTGTAAAGAATTGCAAGGTCACCAGATATACACTAATTTCTCTCTCTCACTCTCATTCTGTTGTACAGTCAGTGTCAGGTTGGTGGATGGTGGCAGTCGCTGTGCTGGGAGAGTGGAGGTTCTTCATAGAGGACAGTGGGGAACAGTGTGTGATAATGACTGGGATATGAGTGATGCTGCAGTGGTGTGTAGAGAGCTGGGCTGTGGAGATGCTGTAGATGCACTGAGTAGAGCTCACTTTGGACCAGGATCAGGACTAATCTGGATGGATGAAGTGGACTGTAGTGAGTCAGAGTATACATTTAAGAACTGTATATCGTCAGATTGGGGTGAGCATAACTGCAATCATTCTGAAGATGCTGGAGTCATCTGCTCAGGAAGTCCTCTACTTGATGCCATTGGTAGTAACTCCTCCATTACTTATGAATTAAACAGCTTTTACTAGCTTTAACAGATGTTTTACAGCTTTAACTCTGCTTGTTTTATTATACTTGTTTTAATCCTGAATATCTTTGTGAATTTTGAAACCGCAAAATTCAATGGGCTGTAGATGCACCAAAATCATGTTAAAATGAACTCTTTAAGTGTTAAAACTGCCAGTTTTACAGTGTGTCATCTTTGCTACCACATTAAATTCTTACTGATGTATAACATATGATGCCTTATTGGATGTCTGATGTGATACATGTGATGCCTAATACATTAACCTTGGTGATTTTCATCTGTATGTATGTATATATTCCCCCTCCCCCTCCCCCCTGCCACCCTTTCAACTCAATGCCTGTTGTACAGACAGTGTGAGGTTGGTGAATGGTAGCAGTCGCTGTGCTGGGAGAGTGGAGGTTCTTCATAGAGGACAGTGGGGAACAGTGTGTGGTGATTACTGGGATATGAGTGATGCTGCAGTGGTGTGTAGAGAGCTGCGCTGTGGAGAGGCTGTAGATGCACTGAATAGAGCTCACTTTGGACCAGGATCAGGACCAATCTGGATGGATAATGTGGACTGTAGTGGATCAGAGTCTACACTGAAGAACAGTAGATCACCTGGAGGGGAGAAACATGACTGTGATCATTCTAAAGATGTGGGAGTGATTTGCTCAGGTAAGTTCTGCTGAAAAATTAAACATGTTCACTACTCAAATGTCACTAAATTTTCTTTTCTTTAAAATATGTATAGCTTAAGAAAGTATGTTAATATGCTAATGTGTTAATGAATGTTAATGTAAAATATAAATACGTTAAAATTCATTACTGCATGATAAATGACATGAGAAACTACAATACTGTACGATCCCTACTTTTATTTTAGGAGTCAGGCTGGTTGGTGGTTCTCACTGCTCTGGGAGAGTGGAGGTGCTTCATGGAGAGACCTGGTCCACAGTGTGTGATGCTGACTTTGACCAGCAGGATGCAGAGGTTGTGTGTCAAGAGCTGGGCTGTGGGCTTCCTGTGGAGGTGCTGGGAGCAGCTGCTTTTGGCAGAGGGGAGGGTCAGGTGTGGTCAGAGGAGCTTCAGTGTAGAGGCAACGAATCTCAGATTTCCTTCTGTCCAACATCATCTTCACTCAAACACAACTGCTCCCATGACAGTGATGTGGGACTGGAGTGTGCAGGTAAGAGCTGCAACTTTTCCTGTTAGTCTTAGACTCTATGTGCTGTGTTGAACTGTGATGAAATTAAAATAATATTCTGTCAATTGTTTCCTCTCTCTCTCTCTCTCTCTCTCTCTCTCTTGCTGTTGTACAGACAGTGTGAGGTTGGTAGATGGTGGCAGTCGCTGTGCTGGGAGAGTGGAGGTTCTTCATAGAGGACAGTGGGGAACAGTGTGTGATGATTACTGGGATATGAGAGATGCTGCAGTGGTGTGTAGAGAGCTGCGCTGTGGAGATGCTGTAGATGCACTGAGAGGTGCTCAATTTGGACCAGGATCAGGACCAATCTGGATGGATGATGTGCACTGCAGTGGATCAGAGTCTACCCTGAAACAATGTAGATCACCAGGATGGGGTAAACATAACTGTGATCACAAACGACATGCTGGAGTCATCTGCTCTGGTAAGCTACAGGCAATTATTACATTCATGGAAGAAAGTCTGTGATAATATATTTACTCTTCATAATATCATCACCACACCAGATAAAAGTAATGGAAATTCTGAGTGTAATTATCTTTAGATCTTATTTACCTTTGATTCTCAAAGCGGGATGTGAAAAAGCAATAGGCTAATATTCTCTATAGTACAATGTAAACACATCAGTACCCAAATGAATGGAAAGCAAGCAGGCAATATAAGCTTTCCCCAGCTGTGAAAAAAAAAAAAAGTTTTCACATAATTCCTGAGCTTATATCAGTAATGTCTGGCAGGGGTGTTGGCTAGGCCTGTAAAGATGTATGGCTAAGCATAGTTTATAGTAGAATTGTTTTGGGATATAGTCCCCCAGATATTTTTTTTTTCAATTAACCTGTAAAATGTGCAGGTGCTACTTCTTTTATTTAAGGATTTACACATCAACAAAATGTGCAGCGACTCAGCTTTCACTGGGTCTCAAGCAACTATTTCCCCACATCAACCATCTCTACTAAAAATGTCCTCTCTAAGATTCTACTACCAGAGGAACATTTTATCTACAGTTTGTATGTATTTTAGAAGCAGAGCAGTCTTCAGTAAAATTCCTCTTACCTAAAAACAAGTAAGAAACAATATAAGAGATCTTGCTAAAACAAAGTATTCCATCTGGGTAATTTTGTGTTCTCATAAACATCGTTGGAGGTCTGCAGCCCAACAGAATATTGGGTAAACATTTTAGATGAGCTCAGGTTGGACAGGGTTTCAAATGAGTTTGTTTTTAATCAATGCTGTAAAAACTAATTTGGAGTTTTAACTTACAGCATGTAATCTGGCCACCTTAAAGTTTAAATATTGTTCTTCTGTAAAGAGTTGACAGCATAAAACACACATTGTTCTGTTAACTAACTGTTAAATGTTAAGTGAACTTGTAATGTTAAAACAGCCAGTTTGCTCGCATTGTTAACTTAATATGATTACTGTTTTACAAAGGAGTACATTTGCCTTTTTTACAGAGGTTTCAAGGGTGCATTCTCTCTCTCTCTCTCTCTCTCTCTCTCTCTCTCTCTTTCTCACACACACACATCCTCTCTCTCTCTCTACCACACTGCACTTTTGAATATCTTTCTTTCTCCTTCTTTCCCTCACTCTCTCTCTCTCACTGTCTCATGCTAAATATTTTGTATTTTGGAAAGTAATAGAATAATAATAGAAATAATAGTAATAGAATACAGTAATAGAATAATAATAGAATTGTATTCTATTACTTTGGAAAGTAATAGAATACAATCTGGTGTGAAGTGGCAATAAAATAAATTCAATTAAACTTAAATACACAGACTTAAATTCCTTGTTTTCTAAAAAGTTAATATAATTATTGCAACAATTCAGTTAGAACACAGGTTTGGTTGCTCACAGGGCACATCTGATTTTATTTTTTAAGTAAAAGAATCATGTAGCCAAACTAGGTATTAGATAGGAACTGTTTACACTGGGATTTCTTAAGGACACATTAGGAAATGGTTATTAAAACACACAGACAGACATGAAATTACAATATATTGTTTATTTGTTAATATGTACTTATTCCATGGTTAGTGCTCTTCAAAGTAAATGCTTACTGATAAATGGTTTTACATATCATCTTCTCAAATGTGTTTAGTCTTTAGTTTAAGAATCTATATTTTAATAAAAAATAATATCATAATAGAAAAAATAACCAATACTACATAAAATAATAGTAATTTTAACATTATGTATTCTTTTAGAAGTCAAGCTGGTTCATAAATGACATGAGAAACAAAAGTACTGTACAATCCCCACTTTTATTTTAGGAGTCAGGCTGGTTGGTGGTTCTCACTGCTCTGGGAGAGTGGAGGTGCTTCATGGAGAAACCTGGTCCACAGTGTGTGATGCTGACTTTGACCAGCAGGATGCAGAGGTTGTGTGTCGAGAGCTGGGCTGTGGGCTTCCTGTGGAGATGCTGAGAGCAGCTGCTTTTGGCAGAGGGGAGGGTCAGGTGTGGTCAGAGGAGCTTCAGTGTAGAGGCAACGAATCTCAGATTTACTTCTGTCCAACATCACCTTCACTCAAACACAACTGCTCCCATGACAGTGATGTGGGACTGGTGTGTGCTGGTAAGAAATATAGAGTTTCCTGTTATTCTTAAATTATGTGAGCTGTGATGGACCATGTTTTAAAATACTCTGTCATCCCCCCTCTAACATACAGACAGTATCAGGTTGGTAGATGGTGGCAGTCGCTGTGCTGGGAGAGTGGAGGTTCTTCACAGAGGACAGTGGGGAACAGTGTGTGGTGATTACTGGGATATGAGTGATGCTGCAGTGGTGTGTAGAGAGCTGCGCTGTGGAGAGGCTGTAGCTGCACTGAGTGATGCTCACTTTGGACCAGGATCAGGACCGATCTGGTTGGATAATGTGGACTGTAGTGGATCAGAGTCTAAACTCAAGAACTGTAGATCACCAGAATGGGGTAAAAATAACTGCGGTCATGATGAAGATGCTGGAGTCATCTGCTCAGGTAAGCTGCAGTCAGTCATCACTGTGAACTGTATCATTGTCTTCACAGCGTATTCATTTTATAAAAGAATATAAATGAAAATTATAAATTTTGTAAATATGTTTTGAAAATAAATGAATATTGTAAATAAAATAATAGGCCTATATTATGCATCAGTGTTTCTCAATATTGGTAAAGGACACAATTTTTACAAAATGTAAAACATTGGGTAACAAGTAACCACACAACTTAATACAAAATTAATAAAACACAACATGACCAAAAGTATGTGGCCACCAGAACATCATATTTATATGTGCTTGCTGAATATATGATTCCAAAATCCTAATTATTATACTAGCCATAAAATTATAATTTAAACTGTGGAAAATAATCATTAAATAAATAATATGTAATAAATTGTTTGTATATGTTTATATAATGTTGGCATGCCCATTAAACTACTTAAGAATTTCTATACTTTTAATGCATATTAGAGGTTTTTTTGAAAATAATTGAATATGAAATGAATAACTTTGCAAATTAGAAACACCTGCATGGCCTCTTGTTTTCCAAATGCTGCCTAGCTCCTATTACCCTGCAAACTGCAAAACAACAAAATGAAAGAAAAAAAAATAGCGCAGAGGAATAAAGTTCTGTGTATTTGAATGGAATGAGCAGATGAAATCTAGTAGAGATGTTGATGTTAATGTGAACAACAATAACAAAACAACAACAACAACAGCAATAATAATAATAATAATAATAATAACAATAATAATAATAATAATAATAATTATTGTTATTTTTATTATTATTATTATTATTAGTAGTAGTAGTAGTAGTAGTAGTATTACTATAATTATTATTATATCCTGAAACAGACATCCAAATCTAACCTTCTTTCTTTTTTTTTATAGCCAATATGAAATTTAAGCTTACAGTCAGTACAACCCTGTTTCCAAAAAAGTTGGGACACTGTGCAAAACGTAAACAAAACAGAATGCATTGATGTGCAAATGAATTAAACTGTATATTTAACTGAAAATTTTACAAAGACAGCATATCAAAGGTTGAATCTGTGAAAAAACAAATATTGTTTTTGAATAATTTATACTAATTTTACATTTGATGTCAGCAACATATTTAAAAAAAAAACGTAAATGTGGCATCAAAAGACTGGTAAAATATAATGCTAAAAACATCTAGTGCAGGTCAAGAATAACATTTTTCAATGTAAAATAGCAAAGCACTTGGCAATTTCATCATCTACAGCAGGGCAACACTAGAGGTTTATGAATAAGGGTGCTAAGCCTGAACTATGGGGGTCTGGGGGCATGTTCCCCCAGGATAACTTTTTAATGGCCCCAAAATATCTGTTCCTCATTAACGTTTAGAGTATCAACGGGCAGATAATGTATCAAAAATGGTTACTTGGTCAAACTGGCACACAGTAGATCTGTCTTTTTGTAGTTTGTATTAATCACAGAGCTGGTTTAACAAACACTATACCCACCCACTTACAACAGACTCAGATCAAGCAAAACTACTGAAATCAAGCAATGCTATCTCTGCTCTCTTAAATAAGCTGCAAGGTCCTAAATATACTATTCAAATACACAGATTATACATCTGTTCAGCCTCAGTTGGTACAATCAGAAAACTGTGATTTTGCTCTGTAGGTATGTTTAATAAGCTAGGTAACAGAATTTCATGGTCATGGTGACAAATATTTTCTCTGTTAAGATTAATTAAACATGGAATTAATTTTAACTAAAAGTTTAACCAACTCTCTCAACATTTTCCACTTGATCACTAACCTCCATCAGACCTGCTCCTTCAGTCATGTCAGTCTCCTACAGTTTATTTCTCTCCCTTTCTTCCTTTGTTTGCTAATAAATTATTTTAATTGATCTCAGATTTACAAGAACTCAAGAAAATATTGAGAGATCATTTTTTAACCTTTCTTTGTTTCTTTGTTTCTTTCTTTCTTTCTTTCTTTCTTTCTTTCTTTCTTTCTTTCTCTCTCTCTCTCTCTCTCTCTCTCTCTCTCTCTCTCTCTCTCTCTCACACACACACACACAGACTCTCTCTCTCTACCATGTCGCATATTTTGCATATCTTTCTTTCTCCTTCTTTCCCTCACTCTCTCTCTCTCACTGTCTCACGCTCAACATTTTGTATTTTGGAAAGTAATAGAATACAGTCATCATGGTGGTCTATTCATTGTTATATGTATTGCCTGCTAAAAGGCTGAGAACACTTTGGGGCAGATTTACTGTTTGCTCTGTCACAGGTTCTATTTTGACATCAAAAAGCAATTGTTGTGATAGATGCAACAACCCTTTAGCACCAAAATAAGACCAGAATAAGACCAGTGGGGGGTCACTGCTTGTTTCCACTTTTGTCTCATGTTATATAGTTAAAGATTATTACATTTCTTCTACCTGGAGGAAACTGATTTTCATACAAAAAGCTTTAAGCCAAATAGTGGTTAAGTTGTGCCAGTCATATCACGTTAGTTAATCTTAGTACATAACCCATTAAACTGGCCAGCCTCACTGGTGTGAAGTGTCAATGAAATAAATTCAATTAAACTTAAATACACAGACCTAAATTCCTTGTTTTGTAAAAAGTTAATATAATTATTGCAACAATTCAGTTAGAACACAGGTTTGGTTGCTCACAGGGCACATCTGGTTTTATTTTTTAAGTAAAAGAATTGTGTAGCCAAACTAGGTATTAGATAGGAACTGTCAACACTGGGATTCCTTAAGGACACATTAGGAAATGGTTATTAAAATACACAGACAGACATGAAATTACGATTTATTGTTTATTTGTTAACATGCACTTATTCCGCTCTTAGTGCTTTTTAAACAAGTAAATGCTTACTGATAAATGGTTTTACATATCATCTTCTCAAATGTGTTTAAGCTAATCAATAAAGTATCTATCTATCTATCTATCTATCTATCTATCTATCTATCTATCTGTCTGTCTGTCTGTCTGTCTGTCTGTCTGTCTGTCTAGCTAGCTAGCTATAAAAATAATATCATAATAGAAAATGTATCCAATACTACATAAAATAATAGTAATTTTAACATTATGTATTCTTTTAGAAGTCAAGCTGGTTGGTGGTTCTCACTGCTCTGGGAGAGTGGAGGTGCTTCATGGAGAGACCTGGTCCACAGTGTGTGATGCTGACTTTGACCAGCAGGATGCAGAGGTTGTGTGTCGAGAGCTGGGCTGTGGGCTTCCTGTGGAGGTGCTGGGAGCAGCTGCTTTTGGCAGAGGGGAGGGTCAGGTGTGGTCAGAGGAGCTTCAGTGCAGAGGCAACGAATCTCAGATTTACTTCTGTCCAACATCATCTTCACTCAGACAGAACTGCTCCCATGACAGTGATGTGGGACTGGTGTGTGCTGGTAAGAAATATAGAGTTTTCTGTTATTCTTAGATTATGTGAGCTGTGATGGGCCATGTTTTAAAATACTCTGTCATCCCCCCTCTAATGTACAGACAGTGTGAGGTTGGTGAATGGTAGCAGTCGCTGTGCTGGGAGAGTGGAGGTTCTTCATAGAGGACAGTGGGGAACAGTGTGTGATGATAACTGGGATATGAGAGATGCTGCAGTGGTGTGTAGAGAGCTGGGCTGTGGAGAGGCTGTAGCTGCACTGAGTAATGCTCACTTTGGACCAGGATCAGGACCGATCTGGGTGGATAATTTGGAATGTAGTGGATCAACATCTAAACTCAAGAACTGTAGATCACCAGGATGGGGTAAAAATAACTGCGGTCATGATGAAGATGCTGGAGTCATCTGCTCAGGTAAGCTGCAGTCAGTCATCACTGTGAACTGTATCATTGTCTTCACAGCGTATTCATTTTATAAAAGAATATAAATGAATATTATAAATTTGTAAATAAAATAATAGGCCTATATTATGCATCAGTGTTTCTCAATATTGGTAAATGACACAATTTTTACAAAATGTAAAACATTGGGTAACAAAGAAGATTAGATTCTTTATGTCTGCTACTCTAACACCACTGATTTGCTCAGATATGGGTTTTTCTTTTCTTAACTTCTGTCAGTGGCTAGTTGAAATTGAAAACCTTTTAGTAGTTAGCCACAATTGAATCTAAGCTAGCACTAGCACCAACTGCTAACTAGGGCAGTATCGTGGAGCAAGAGTAGCTTGTAACAGGTCCACACATCACAGCCTCGTTTCATTTTAGTCTCTGTTCTCTAAACTCTAAACTTATTCCACTGTTGGTGCTTTTTAAACAAGTAAATCCTTACTGATAAATGGTTTTACATATTATCTTCTCAAATCTGTTCAGGCTTTAATTCAAGAATATATATTTTAATAAAATATAATATCATAATAGAAAAATTAACCAATACTACATAAAATAATAGTAATTTTAACATTATGTATTCTTTTAGAAGTCAAGCTGGTTCATAAATTGTAACTACAGTACTGTACAATCCCCACTTTTATTTTAGGAGTCAGGCTGGTTGGTGGTTCTCACTGCTCTGGGAGAGTGGAGGTGCTTCATGGAGAGACCTGGTCCACAGTGTGTGATGCTGACTTTGACCAGCAGGATGCAGAGGTTGTGTGTCGAGAGCTGGGCTGTGGGCTTCCTGTGGAGATGCTGAGAGCAGCTGCTTTTGGCAGAGGGGAGGGTCAGGTGTGGTCAGAGGAGCTTCAGTGTAGAGGCAACGAATCTCAGATTCACTTTTGTCCAACATCACCTTCACTCAAACAAAATTGCTCCCATGACAGTGATGTGGGACTGGAGTGTGCTGGTAAGAAATATAGAGTTTCCTGTTATTCTTAGATTATGTGAGCTGTGATGGGCTGTTTTTTAAAATACTCATCCCCCCTCTAACATACAGACAGTGTGAGGTTGGTACATGGTGGCAGTCGCTGTGCTGGGAGAGTGGAGGTTCTTCATAGAGGACAGTGGGGAACAGTGTGTGGTGATTACTGGGATATGAGAGATGCTGCAGTGGTGTGTAGAGAGCTGCGCTGTGGAGAGGCTGTAGATGCACTGAGTGATGCGCACTTTGGACCAGGATCAGGACCAATCTGGATGGATAATGTGGACTGTAGTGGATCAGAGTCTAAACTCAAGAATTGCAGATCACCAGGATGGGGTAAAAATAACTGCGGTCATTACATAGATGCTGGAGTCATCTGCTCAGGTAAGCTGCAGTCAGTCATCACATTCATTAAATATAGTTTATTATATTGTATTGTTGTCATCGCAGATTTAATTTTATAAAAGAATATAAATTAATATTAGAAATTTTATAAATACACATTGAAGGTAAATAAATATTATAAATAACATTACAGGCCTATAATATACACCATACAACATTTTTTTTATAAATTGTAAAACATTGGGTAACAAGTAACCACACAACTTAATTCAAAATGAATAATACACAACATGACCAAAAGTATGGCCACGAGAACATCACATCCTATGTGCTTGCTGAATATATGATTCCAAAATCCTAATTATTAAACTAGCCATAAAATAAGATTTTAAACTGTGGAAAATAATCATTAAATAAATAACATATAATAAATGGTTTGTATATGTTTGTATAATGTTGGTATGCCCACAAAACTACTTAAAAATCTTTATAACTTTATGCTCATTATGATTTTTTGAATATGCATAACTCTGCAAATTAGAAACAACTGCATGGCTTCTTGATTTCCAAACCCTACCTCACCCCTATTACCCTGCAAACTGCAAAACAACAAAATGAAAAAAAAGTGGTGCAGGGGAATAAATCCCTGTGTATTTGAACATAATGAACATACTTCAGGAAAACACAGTAGTAGCAGCAATAGTAGTTCCAGTGCAAGTAGAGCATCAAAAAGAGGTGCATGTGTGTGTATCAGAGGCCAAAAATCCTAAATAACCTCTCACACTCACTATCACAGTCACTATCAAACCCTCTCCCACTCACGATCAAACCCTCTCACACTCACCATCAAACCCTCTCCCACTCACCATCAAACCTTCTCACACTCCCTATCAAACTCTCTCACATACACACTATCAAACTCTCTCACACTCACCATCAAACCCTCTCACACTCACCATCAAACCTTCTCACACTCACTGTCAAACTCTCTCACACACACACTATCAAACTCTCTCACACTCACTATCAAACCCTCTCACACTCACTATCAAACTGTCACACATTCACTATCAAACCCTCTCAAACTCACTATCAAGCTCTCTCACACTCACCATCAAACCCTCTCACACTCCCTATCAAACTCTCTCATGCTCACTATCAAACCCTCTCACACACTTTCAAACTCTCTCACACTCACTATCAAACCCTCTCCCACTCATTATCAAACCCTCTCCCACTCACCATCAAACTCTTTCCCACTCACTATCAAAACCTCTCCCACTCACTGTCAAACCCTCTCACAATCACAATCAAACTCTCTCACACTCACCATCAAACCATCTCACACTTGACATTAAACCTCTCACACTATCAAACTCTCTCAGACTCACCATCAAACCCTCTCACACTCGTCATTAAACCTCTCACACTCACTATTAAACTCTCTCACACTCACTATCAAACCCTCTCACACTCACCATTAAAACTCTAAGGCATTCCTGACAGTGAGTATGAGAGCACTTGATAGCGTGTATGAGAGAACTTGATGGGCTGATTTGCCTAGAGAGCTTTCATTGAAACTAGCAGTTTCTGATTCGCTCAGTCAAATATGCCCATCCCCCATTGGCTCTTATAAACAGATAGTTCTTCAAAGGTCCTTTAGTAAAGACAGTGGTTCTATGTAAAACTAGGAACAAAATAACATAAGTAACAAAAAACCATTTACATAATTAAAGAGCTCTTTGCATGGTGAAATGGTTCTTCAGATTAAAAGACAATGCGCTGTAGATATGAATGAAGTTTTTTTGGTGCTATAGCGGTACGTGTATTCTCAAGTTTGATGAGTGTGAGAGAGTTTGATAGTGAGTGTGAGAGGGTTTGATAGTGAGTGTGAGAGGATTTGATAGTGAGTGTGAGAGGGTTTGATAGTGAGTGTGAGAGGGTTTGATGGTGAGTGTGAGAGGGTTTGATAGTGAGTGTGAGAGGGTTTGATAGTGTGAGAGGATTTGATAGTGAGTGTGAGAGGGTTTGATAGTGAGTGTAAGAAGGTTTCATAGTGAGTGTAAGAGGGTTTGATAGTGACTGTGGGAGGGTTTGATGGTGAGTGTGAGAGATTTTGATAGTGAGTGTGAGAGGTTTAATGGCAAGTGTGAGAGGTTTGATGGTGAGTGTGAGAGAGTTTGATAGTGTGAGAGGTTTAATGTCAAGTGTGAGATGGTTTGATGGTGAGTGTGAGAGAGTTTGATTGTGATTGTGAGAGGGTTTGATAGTGAGTGTGAGAGGTTTATTGGCGAGTGTGAAAGGGTTTGATGGTGAGTGTGAGAGAGTTTGATGGCGAGTGTGAGAGAGTTTGATAGTGAGTGTGAGAGGGTTTGATAGTGAGTGTAAGAAGGTTTGATGGTGAGTGTGAGAGGGTTTGATAGTGAGTGTAAGATGGTTTGATAGTGAGTGTGAGAGGGTTTGATAGTAACTGTGGGAGGGTTTGATGGTGAGTGTGAGAGGTTTATTGGCGAGTGTTAGAGGTTTGATGGTGAGTGTGAGAGAGTTTGATAGTGAGTGTGAGAGGTTTAATGATGAGTGTGAGAGGGTTTGATGGTGAGTGTGAGAGAGTTTGATTGTGATTGTGAGAGGGTTTGATGGTGAGTGTGAGAGGTTTATTGGCGAGTGTGAAAGGGTTTGATGGTGAGTGTGAGAGAGTTTAATGGTGAGTGTGAGAGGTTTAATGACGAGTGTGAGAGGGTTTGATGGTGAGTGTGAGAGAGTTTTATAGTGAGTGTGAGAGGGTTTGATAGTGAGTGTAAGAAGGTTTGATGGTGAGTGGGAGAGGGTTTGATGGTGAGTGGGAGACGGTTTGATAGTGAGTGTAAGAAGGTTTGATAGTGAGTGTGAGAGGGTTTGATAGTGAGTGTGAGAGGGTTTGATCGTGAGTGGGAGAGGTTTGTTTGAGTTTTAATGGCAAGTGTGAGAGGTTTGATCGTGAGTGTGAAAGAGTTTTATAGTGAGTGTGAGAGGTTTAATGGTGAGTGTTTGATACTGAATGTGAGAGGTTTGATACTGAATTTGAGAGCTTAGTTAGAATTTTGGCCTAAACAGCCTCTAATATGCGTGTGTGTATGAGTTTAGAGTATGTGTGTGAGGGTAGAGTATGTGTGTGAGGGGGTTTTCAGTTCAGTCCTTGTGAGTTTAAAAACCTGATTGCTTGCCGAACAAAGCTGTTCCATGGCATGTGTGCTCTGGTACCTTCTACTAGACAGCAGCAGTGAGAAAAGTCTGTGTGAGGGATGGATGGGGTCATCCACGATGCTGGTGGCTTTGCGATTGCCATGTGCGGTGTAAATGTCCATGATGGAGGGGAGAGAGACCCCGATGGTCTTCTCAGCTGCCCTCATTATTCGCTGTAGGGTCTTGCGGTCAGAGGCATTGCAATTCCCAAACCAGGCAATGATGCAGCTGCTCAAGATGCTCTCCATGGTCCCCCTGTAGAACCGGGTGAGGTTGGCAGGGGGTAGATGAGCTTTCTTCAGTCTCTGCAGGAAGTAGAGGTGCTGCTGGGCTCTCTTGGCTGTGGAGCTGGTCTTGAGGGACCAATTGAGGTTCTCTGTGATGTGGACACGGCGGAACTTGATGCTCCTGACGATTTCCACAGCAGGGCCAGTGATGTTCAGTGGGGGGGTGAACACATTCAGAGTCAGCAGAGTAAACAGCAGTGGACTAAGCACACAACCAGTGCTCAGTATGGTGGTGCTGGAAATGTTGTTACCGATCCTGACTGACTGAGAGACCTCAGTCAAATCCAGACCTCAGACCTCCAGACCTCAGGAAATCCAGGACCATGTTACAGAGGGAGGTGTTCAGGCCCAGCAGGCTTAGTTTTCCAATCAGGTGCTGAATGCTGAACTGATGTCTATTAACAGCATTCTGATGTAGGTGACT